TAGATCACAAGGTACTCTCATATTAACTGTCTCTTGGGAACAAAACAGTCCATGCTTCAAGGAGCTTACAAACCTAGGACAGAGATTGTCTATTGATTTACTTACAGATTTACTTGAAGAGAATTCACTAACTTTAAAACAGATACTCTCTCCAGAGAGTTGATGACATTTTACATATAAACTTTATCTTCTCCATATCCCTGCAACACGAGCAGAAAAAGGGATCTTTTTTACCTGGAATTCACAAACAAGGTTGATGCCTAGAGATGACTGGTGATGTACCATATTGAGCACTGATAGACTGTTCGACTCTGTGCAAGACACGTCTCAGTACTTACATCTATCTCTAATGTCATCCTCGAGCAATATTTTGAAGTTATATTATTTTACAGTAAGAAAACTGAGGCATTGAGAGATGCAGTTAAAAGTGCTGGAGTGTTAACCTTGAGAGTCCAGACCCTAAGCCCTTTGATTTGAGTGGTGAGGATGGTCAGTAAGAGGGAGCTTATGGTTGTCCTTTCCTGAAGGACACACTGATACTGGCATCTTAACTATTTCTTTCACCTGTGTGAAATTCTAGTAGTTTATCTCTCTGGTGGAATAATGAAGTCCTAAAAAGGACATTGACAGTCTGCTGATAGAAGCCTACCCTCCTTCCAGTTTAGAAATCCATCCCTCTGTCCCCCCATTCTATCAGTCTGATAACATAATGTCCGAAAGCCTAGAAAATACACAGAAAAGACAATGGGCAGACGGTGGGTTTAAAAGGCCCAATTTATTAATTTATTTAGGAAAATATCAATCAGCCGGCATCACACCACCTCTCCCAATGACTTATAGATTTCTGGGTGAAATTTACATTTACTCTAGACTTAAAAAAAAAATAGAAGTGATTTCCTTTTGTTTGTTCTCAGCTCTTGAGGGTTTTGTCCTCGGTAGCTCTAACTCAATTTTATTCTTGGAATTTTCAACCATGTCAAATGAAATCGAGAAAGTATTGAAGAATAATATCAAGTGCAAATGCAAAACCAAATTTGAGTCCCAAGGAGCTAGTTTCATTGCCCACACATTGATTTACTTCTGTACTTGCTCTTACGCTTTTTGTGATGAGTTTTCCAATGGTCTGTTCCAAATACTAGTAATAGATCACTCTGAGCACCATTTGTTTCAGGCAGAGGATCTTAACGCATACTTCTCACAGATAAAATACTTCCAAGAGCTGCAGTTAGCTGAAAGAAGGGAATTGTCTCTGAGGTATCCGCAGACCTGATTAGTTGATTGGAATCTCTCCGTTTGCAACCTGCAAAGGCAAGTTAGGGTTTCTGAGGTTAGA